CTATCCACCAATTATTTATATTAATAAACCTCTTGAATTGTTTGTTGTTGAATTGTCTATATACGTATAAACTGTGCTTATGCTTCACTTTGCATGTATCGAACTGAAACGTATGTAAATATATTTCCGCACCCAGTAATAAGAAATATAGTATATTTTTAAATACAAACAATCAGAGAGAAAAAAATATATTATTGAGTACATATACTTCATGCTAGAACATGGTCACTTATTGTATTCAATTTGTCTCCAGCACTTCACATACAAAAGCCACCAGTCTTGAATATGCAACCTTATGGAAAAAAGCTTATGGCTCTTATGTCATGTTGAATGACCCATTTTGTTTTACTGAACTTTATTGCAAAATAATCAAGCCCAAAGCGGTGTGATACCTCGATTTCATTACTGTGGCGATGATGGACATATATATGTTCTTATTGTGTTCTAAAATTACACTGCAGTACAAAAAAAAAATACAAACGTGCGTAATATGTTGATATGAATTTAATATTGATAAATTACATATTGATAATATCTTCTTCTTATTTGCTTAATCAAACGCGAGTTGGTGTTTAAAGCTCGAACTTCAAGATCGGGGTTGTCCAAAACCGCAACCCGCGGCAGATATACTATATGCGGACCGCGATGTTTCTAATCTACTACAATTAGTCAAACTTTTCTTTGTTACATTTTGGTAACATTATATTATTTTCTCTTTTTGTGATATCCCAACTAAATGAATCAACATTTTTTAAATAATTTATTATACTTCACATTATTTACTTAATTGGTAAACACTTAAGTATAGTATATTTCTTTGTACAACTGGTAAAAAAACTTATATCTGGCCGCAAATCATTATATTAAAAATAAAATATTTTTCGTATGACAATAAATGAACTTCTCTTGTCTAAAAAGCCCTGATTGAGATGATTTACTGTAATAAGAGCAATCCACTCCGTTGAATTCTGATAAGTTATTCAAATGATTTTATAGACATTTACTTTGAAGACCAGTATATCTTCCTGACATAATATATATTGTATTAGATTTGAGAGAGCCTAATTCTGAATTAGTGTGTGCTTTCACAGAACAATTTTATCGCTCTGTATTTAATATACTTTCGCACCCTCTCGAGTCTTAAACCTTTGTATACCTTCTGCTCAAAAAGTACTCGGATTTTGTAAATAAAACTCAAATTTAAATTTTATTCCAAATTTATTTTATCTCCTTCAAAATATGCTCCTTCTGAAGCGATACAGATATGCCAACGCTTAACCCAATCTTCCATACACTTTTCGTAGGCCCGTGAAGGTTAGACTTTTAGTTCCTTCGGCGAATTCTCTTTTACCGATTCAATCGACTCAAAACGCTTACCACGAAGGCGAAATTTGAGTTTCGGGAACAGGAAAAAGTCGCATGGTGCCAGATCTGGCGAATATGGTGCCTGAGTGATGACAGTGGTGCCGTGTTTGGTCAAAAAATCGCGTACAACAAGAATTTTCCATAGTAAAAATCGCTAAATGCATTTGACGTAGTTTCACATTAATAGCTGCTGTAAACAAACTAATTGACAGATGGCGCTCAAATTTGTAGCATTTTATCAAGAATGAGTGTACCAACATAACATCTTGAAAAAGGTCTATTACTTAAGGAGTAGTTAACAAACAACAAAATCCGGATACTCTTTGAGCAGAAGATATGTACTTATTTCTGATGTATTATGGAGCTTTGAGCATACGTCTCAGTACAATACTCTAATAAATTTGCAATTTTCTGATGACGCTGCATTGCCATAAGTAGTGAAGTAGTAATAATATCTTTAGGATCTGTAGAAGAATGTTATGTGTATTCTAAATATATATTTTGCTAAACGATGACCGATTTATCATGGTTTTTTTAATTTCTTGGGAAGTATAGAACCACATAAGCCAATTATCAACAAAAAACTGCTGTTTACTATATTTACTGCTTGAAAAAAATCGGCTTAGTTTAAAGTAGTATTTCTAAACCCAAAATTTACTACGGACAGAAAAATGAATTCAGTGTGCTTTACAAAGAACGGAAATTAAAGGTGAAAATAAAATATTTTACTATTACGGTGCTATCGCTATGAACCGGATATGGAAAACTTTGGTTTAGAAGATTGACTGCTGTATTGGTGCGATTTCAATTTCTCGAGTACACCGATGTAACAATGGGATTTAATAGAATAAAGTATTTTGCGCAACTTTTTCTTATACTTAGTTTACTTTTCGAGATATCGGGTCTAAACTGTTAATACAAATATAAACTACATACGCAATCTAACGCCAACTATGTAGTAACATGTTGTGGTGACGTGCCTGCACTTGTTCTTAGTGGGCCGGAGGTGTAAATCTGGTACCACAGAGGTTAAGTCAGCTTTCGCTGTTCTGACCAATTGAGGCTGGCATTGTCGTGGTAGCTGCGGTTAAAATCCAACCTTACTCGGGTAGAATGTTTGTTTCTATTTACTTTAATTTTATGTTTTTCAACTGGGCGCTGTGTTGAGAACACCGTGGTGATGTGAGCTAATCACGTAAATCACAGGTCATGTTATGCCTGAAGAATCCCCTTTTCGGTGTAACGGTTAGAATATGTACCTTAAGTAAGTCAAGTAATGTGTGACTTCTTAAGTAAGTCATAGATGTTAATGGGCGAATAAAATCTATTAAGCATCGCACCGTACTGTTGGAGTATAACTAAGAATAAGTGAGTTTCACTTGCGGGCATCCGAACGGTGGTATAAATCTGATACCAGTGTGGTTAGTGCATGCAGCTTTGACTGTTATAAATAGAGATGGGCTCCTTAAAGAAAGCGTGTTTCTGGCTGTAGTTCAAACCTATATATTCGACAATAGAATGTCTGTATTGATTTATTTTTATTTAATGTAGATTTGCATTTGTCAACTGGGTGCTGTGATCTAATGCACAACAGAAGTGTTAGAAAAGCTTCGCTCACCATCAAATGCTTACAAAATTGTAGGCAAGGGAGTTTATTTTTTTGACGATGTCAACATAAAAATGTTTTTTTCGAAGTAGTGTTGTGTTTTGTAGGTAGAAACTGTTACCATTCCTTTTACAATTAAATTGCTTTCTCATGAAGTCTTAGGCAAAAATGATACTACTTTTGATGATAGTAAAGCAGTCATTTTTTCCAAAACTGTTATTTCCAGTACATTTAACTAGTATTAAAATGTCAAATATCTTTAAATGAGATGTCAATTTATTTAGTTTTAAAATGAGCTTAATCTATAAGACCTATAGTCTTCTATGGGATGGTCTACCAACCCCATTAGACTATGTATGTTTCTGTGAAACAATTTCTAATTGAGAGCAGTGTGAAAAATAAAGAAACTTCTTAAATTCAGTTATTTTTAAATCTTAAAAGAACTAGTGAGTTAACTTAATGGATTTCCAAAGTTATGCTTATTTTGAATATTGAAATTATACAAAAAAATATTAGCTGTTGTAATGTTGTTGTGTAACTTTTTTTCATCAAGTCTTGAACGAAAAGTATAACACTCCAGATGAATTTATAAGACTCTAGATTTTGCTAGAGTAGCAAGATTACCATAAAATTAACAGCTGTTGTACATGACTAGACAGATAAAGTATGATTTCATTCGATATATGTTTTTATGAATAAAAATATTAAAATGTGAAAAATAAAATTTGACAAAACGATAGTAAATCTAGATTAAATCCAGATTTACCAATCGAAAACGTCATTAGATTGAAAGCTTTGAATGACTTCCTAACCATTTGGCAAACTGCGTTATTGTCATCGGTCATTTTGTGATAGAAATCCTATTTTTTACTCAAATACTTAATATTTCTGTTAGATTTGTTTTATTTTGTGTTTCAGTGAAGAATGAAAGTACCAAGCATGAAGTTGTCATATAAAATAGCGATAAAAAGGTGTACATCAAAAGTATACGAGTATCTAAGAAAATACGAGAAAATAATATGTACTAATACTTATGGACAGTAGTGTCCGTGGTTACATAAATAGATAAACATTTTAGACGCATGTTCATATTTATGTCAAGGATGATCTGCCATAATTTGTTTCAAATAAAAAAGAAAAATTGAAGACAAAAAATTCGTTATAAAAGGAAATATTATTTTTCTTCGTTGCTAACAGCAGTAGTTGTCAGTTGTCACTGTTTGCAAGTCAATCAACCCTCGCCTCTCCCATCATTAGGGAATAAACCGTTGGACGCAATGAATTGAGTAGAATGGATCCATGTAAGTATTACGGTACGAGTGGAATAACTGAAAGGCGTTTCCGTTTTATTTAACAAAAGGTAAATTTATCATTTTTAATTTTTTTCTTTGTTTTGCCTTCAATTCACTCCGTTTTTATTGCATTACAAACAAATAATTTATTTTCCGAAATCATTTAAAAATAAAAATATAATCACTTAATTCACCAATTTAATTCAATTCAATATCCTATCCTTAAGTTACCATGTCAGCATTCAGGAGTTCAAATAAAGAATCATCAACCACATAAATAAGTTTTGTTGCAACAACATTTCTCTTCCTTGTGGTAAGTTTAGGGCAGTTGATAGGATAACTTGCAATTTGATTTAAATGGAAGGGAAACTTTGAATTTGTCATATTAGCAGCAGCAAAGAGTGTAAGAGGCAGACCTTTCCGCCCGTTGGTCAAGTTGCAACACTTAGTTGCGGTTTCTTTATTGCTTTATGGTTTAAGATAAATATTTCATAATCAGAAACTTCATTAAATGAAGTTGCTGTTTGGGGTTATTCAATTGAAAGCATAGAGAAATATGGTCTAAAATTAAATGAAACACGTCATTAAATGAAAATTGCGGTCAAGTGCATTTAACTGTTTTTGACTCATTGAAACTTAAACAAATTTATTAAAACTTACTGAAAATAACTTTCTAATGAACTATTAATAAATCGATTACTCTAATTTACAAAGAATATTTATTTTTATATTTTCAGGTTCTTTTATTTGTATCATTTCGCCTTCTATGCGTACCATTATCGCTTCAGTGGACAAAATCGTAGTTTAGCGCTGGTCTCATCTTGGCTATTTATTCAGGTACGTGTTCAACGAATTGCTTAAATAATCTTCCAAAAAAAATCTAAAAAAATCTGTTCAAATATCATTTTGACAAGCAACTTCCGCTTGAAATATTTACGGCAGATTCAATTTTTCTATTCCGAAGAATTCAATTGTTGCACTGCTGCTCTCACATTTCCAGTGCAGTGTTCGTATCGTTTACAGTCCCTGACAGCGCCGGAATCGCTGCCGTTTATGCGATGCTGTTTCCACATTTCTGCTGGCAATTTTATGGCAAATTAATTGACATCAATGTGGAGCTCACGTGTAGCATTTTTATGCAAGTTTTCCATGTCATAACTCACGTGGCAGCCATTGATTTTTCAGGCTCACGTTTTTGTATCTAAACTACATTCACGTATGCAGCTCTGAGGTTATACGTTTTTCACATTAAACAATACCTACGCAGTGCAGCTATACAATTTAAAATGTTACTTTATTTGATTATTTTAAACTTAATGGAACTCACAACGCTGTCGTGCTTTCTCGTGTGCACTTTTTGTATTAAGCTTCTTAAATTTATTACGGCCCCAACACCTTAAAAATATAACAAAATAGAAAAATAGTAGAAGTGGTATTAGAAGAACTCTGTAGATGAATATTATTGAGATGTAGTATTATGTTTGAGGAAAAGTATTAATTGTTTTTCTATTCCTTTGGCTTTGAAGTGATTAGTTGCATCTGGTAATTTTTTTTTCTTTATTTGACAGATTCATTTTAACACAAGTTTAGATTTTAACCCCACTCAAATATTTTAGTCTTATGTTGAGCCTTTTCCGAGGTAGTGCATCTGGGCACTTTTACTCTATGATGACTGGGGTGGTTTCTGCAGAGTCCCATACATCTCACTAACTAATTTGAGTACTCCCCATAATCTTCGTGATTATTCAATGATTGATTTAAGATTTGCGTACCGCCCCGTGCGGTTAATTATTACTCTGAGTAGGGCTTCCTGTCGGTTTTCGCATATTGCTTCGGAGCTCTATCCCTTATGTATTTTTTGATCGGATATATTTCAAGATCTATTTCGTGCGGATGTACCATGGCACTTTGAAGAACCTTCGGAGAGCCTGACTTTGAGCAACTTGTAGTTTTTGAATAGTAGAGTCGGCAGCTTTGCTATACTCGACACACCCATAAGGTAGTACTGGTCTAATTATGTGGCTGTAGATCAGCTTTCTATTCTTCACGCTAAGGTTGTTGTGTTTGAAAAGTGATTGTAAGCAGTGCAGTGTTTTTGCGCAACTACTTCTTTTGACTTGTATGTGTTTGTGCCAAGTCAACCGCTTATCGAAAGTGATTCCTAAGTATTTAATGCTGTCCTCCCAATTAATCGTGATGTCATCAACTCTCACACTCGGTGGATGTTGCCTGTGTTTACGAGTAATAAATAGGGCTTTAGTTTTCTCATTGTTAATTTTTATTTTCCATTTCTGGAAGAACTCCAGGATGAGATTAACATGCTCTTGCAGCGTATTGGTCACATTTCTGGCAAGTTTATCGGAATATAACAAGCAAGTGTCATCTGCGTATAAGGATAGCACCGAGGGACTAAGCAGTGGGATGTCAGAGGTGAAAATGTTGTATAACAAGGAGGAGAGTGGAGATCCTTTAGGAACACCGCCTTCTATTCTTTGCATTGACGAGATGGTGCTGTTGATTCTTACACAAAACAACCTCCCGCGTAGGAAGCTACGGAAGATTTTTATTAGCCCGAGTGGGATACCAAAATGAGAAGTTTTAACTATCAGGCCGTCATGCCAGACCTTGTCAAATGCCTTGGCGATGTCAAATGTAATCATACCCGTTGATTCTCTTCTGTTTAGGCTGACCGTATCATCTGAGCCGTTCACACCAATTGCAATTGTGTGAAGAGGTCTCCCCTAAAACCAAATTGCTCGTCAGGGAGAATATTCAGCGAGTTCACCGAAGTTTTAAGTCTATCTAAAATCACTCTTTCAGCCAACTTACCTAGAGCTGACAGTAAGCTTATGGGGCGCCAGTTCTGCGGAAACTTCGGGTCCTTGCCGGGTTTAGAGAAGACTACAACTGTGGCCTGTTTCCAGATCTGAGGATATTCACCTAATCTAAACATACAGTTGATTATATTTGCGATGAGATGGATCGCATCTTTCGCTAGGTTACGTAAGCATCTGTTGTTAATTTTGTCGAATTTATATTAGAAAAATTATTATTTTTTTAAATTGTTTACATATTTATTTTTAATTAGTTGTTAAAAATTTCCCTCTTAAACGAGGGTCTGTATACGGCATGGACTTAGCTAAGGAGTGGACGCACATGACAAAAGTTGCTTTTAAATGTGTTACCACAATATCATGTTGTGAAAACTAGCCATAGGGTGCCGATGCTTCATTGAATTATTTTCATTTTCTTTTCTTTGTTCTGAAAATTGAATTGTGAAAAATACTTATTACTCACTGTACCGAACGACGAAAAATTCAATGAAATGTAGATGTAATCCATAAGTAGTTGTAAACAAGAGCAAATTTACTGAAGATCTAAATTAACCACAGCAAAATACTTAACCAATAAACATAATCATTTAACGTATCATACGAATTACTTACTGTTTCCTTAACTTCTGCTAGAGCATAGCACTTCCACTACAACCTAAATCATATTAACGGTAGATCAGGCACTAGAAGTTAATATTTGTTATGTCTATGAAAAACAAAGCATGAAGCTCGTATGTTTCCAAGTAGATAGATTAGATAGTTAGTCTTCTAGTAGTGATTTGACTTCTTTTGAAGCTGTTATCATATATTTCCTATAAAAAGGTTGTAGGCTAAGAATGGTATTTATCTCTTAGCCTTTTTATCATTATCTAAATAGTCCACCATTTTGTTGTCTTCATGTTTCGATTTACAAATAGGAGTTACAGAACTCCTCTTAGATAAGATTTGAATTGATTCAGCTTACTATGCGATTTAACAACTGTTCGACTGTAAGTGTATACATATGCCGGTACTAGTAGTGCTCCTACGCGTATTCTTCCAATGCATAGCACTATAGTTTTGATCTCTATTTGAAATATGAAGCTAGTTTTTTTTATTACAACTTCTATTAAAAAGTTTACCACTACTATTCTAGCATCTGTATTGATATCTTTCAAATTGGACTTATTCATATACCATAATTCGAAACAGGGCTTAAAATTGACATAACTATTTCTACAGATGTACAGTCAATGATATCCACTTCAAATTGCATAGAAAAGACTAACCTTTTATCCACGACATCAGAGACCTTAAGACATTGTGCTCCAAAATATGTTAAGAATCTATACATGCTCTGTTGAGTTGCTTTTTATACAATGTAGTATTGGAAATAGTCTGAGGGATGTGCAACTTGCCTCTCTAGATTGTGATTTATGAATAAAATTATCTGTATATAATTAATAGTTAAGGATTAATCTAGAAATTAAAAATGAATGTCATAAATGGTTTTGTAATAGTTCGAGGGCGCCCGGAATATACTGTTGAGCGCATTTTTGTTGATATCTTACAGAGACGCAATCACCAACATACTTTAGATGACCTCTGATTCGGTATTTATATCTATATATTTCAGGTCTACAAATATTTATACATTTTATATAATTTAGGGTACATAAGTACATAAAATGTATCCCTCAGTTACAGAGGCTATAGGCCATAATATTTAGCAAATTTTGCGGTACAACTATATTATTCATTTGTAATTGTTTTATTGAACATTCCCTATGAAATATAAATAATAAAAAATTAATGTTCCAAATACGTATTTAATATGATTTTGTTTATTATAGCATTCAATGTTCTACTTCTTCCACCACTACGAACTGCCCGTCATACTGCAACAGGCGCAAGTGCTTATCGTTACGAGGAACAATCAAAACAACATTGGAGGAAATTTATTGCAAGGCGATCAAGGACAGGAAAGAACTATCATTTTAAATCGTTTGCTTCGGCGGCAATTTGCTCTACTGCAGCAACGCGACCAACCAGAACGTGGAATTTCCTTTGTTCGCAGATTACAGGCGACATTGCGACGTATGTTTATTGTGTTCGGCTGGATGGCACCACAGCGTATCAATTGGGGTATACTACGTATTGATCCAGCTAATTTGGGCAATGTTGCTACCGTGAGAGTAGTTGTAGCAAATAGCGTGGGAAATATCATAGGAACAGCCAATTTGCAAAATCCTGCTAATATTGGAAATGTTGGCGGTGGCAGTGGTGGCAGTGGTGGCAACAACGTCAATGCAGCTAGATCATCTGCACCCGCCACATCCACCAGTACTAATAACTCTTCAACAACAACAGCCACAACAAGAGCAAATACTGAAACAATGTTAACCACAAATTCCGCAACAATTGTAAATGCAGATTTTGTTAGCGTAACAGCAGCAGCAACATCACTACCAACAACTACAACAACAGCATCACCCAAGCAAACTGCAACCAATTTCACCGCTACCACATCATCAGGTAAACTAAAACAGAAAGTTTTGTTATAAATTTTATATTGCACACTCCTCATTTACTTATTTTTTTATTTTCTCTATCTTGTTCTCAACAAATGTAGAACGAAAATTGGCTCCAGTGGTTGCGGGTCGGTGGAATTTGCACTCGTAATAATGCTTTATTAGTGCTTTTATGCTACTTTAAGATAAGATGAAATTCCTATAAAATACTTTATTATTTTATGAACATTCTAAGTCGATCTTAACAATTTTCATTTTAAATCAGCGCATAGCTGGAATAGGCGAATAACGAGCTCCGATGAAATGAACCCACCCAACGCAACATTATTGCACTTAAGTTGTTTTAAACAAAATCCACAAGCTCCATTTAATTAATATTTGAAGAGGAGATTTATCTTTTTCTGTAGCACTTTCACTAATTATTGCCTTAAAAGCAAAAGCTCGTGTTTTTGATAAAGTTCTGTAATCCTTTTTCATGTGCATTAAACACTTGAATATTATTGGAGGCGTTGAAAGATTATGAATATAATTTAATGTACATATTTATTTTAAATTTATATTTGCAAATGTAACATATTGAATATGAATATGTAAAAGCTGAAAGTTTTGGCACATACAACCAATAGATTTTTTATTTCAAATATAGTAAGATTGTTTGTGCCTGTATTAAATGCAAATGGCCAAATTTGCTTGGTCATTTTACTCAAATTGTGAAGGTTCTGACTTGATACACAGAAGCAAATCGGAAGTATCTAGGTTAATATTTGTTCTAACAGTGTACTGGACTATAGAACGGCATTGGACCAAGCTCGATCTATCCTCTAGTACACCAGAACACCTGCTGTGTCTATGTCCTTGCTTGTTTAGAATCAGACTTCAGTTATTGGGTGTCCCACTCCTCAACATATTCAGCAATATTTCCAGCGTTAGCGTTGTCTAGATTCTCGCGTTTATCAATGCTTCTGGCTGGTTTTAACATGATCATTCTCCTATCCACCATTGAGAAGAATTGTAGAAACCGACAACTTTTAAGCTAATTGAGAAGGACTCATTATTCCCTCCACGTAACCCAACTTAACCTTCACAAACATATGCGATAATCTGTCTTATCAGTATCTTGTAGTTCATTGTTTTTCTTTTTTAATTCGTAATAGTAACTTAGTTTCTAAAATTACAAATATTTATATACAGCTTTTCCACACAAAAGTTTTAAGCATAACTGAACGTATGTTCATATACTCTTGCCCGGTTTGAGTCTTCTTGCTTCTAGCTAACATATTTTCTTGTTGTTTTTATCCACGGAGATTCATCAAGCAGATGAAACATCAAAAGAATTTCATATTAACCGTATATGGGTTGGAAAATGAGTTGTTGTTTTTGTTACCCGTTGGGGTCTGCTTGTAAAATCTCTTTGAAGGGATGGTGAATGGTACTTGATCGTCGTGGTTGACGAGTGGCTCCGGGACGTAGACCCAACCGTTCTTGAAACCTAGGATGTGGTTAGCTAATGGTAGGTGTGAAAGGGAAGGGATTGTTTAGGAGTAAGAATGAATTGAGTATGAGTGTTGTCAGTTGTAGAATAACAATTTTTCTCAGTCTTACTGGTTTTGGTGCTATTAATTAGCACTTGCAGTTGTTGCTGTTTTCCACGTTGTTAACTATCGCTATAACTCGTTTATTGCATATAAAAAGAAAAGTAATTATACAATACTCTATTATGTATAAGTATATACTACATTCAAATTATTTTAACACAATTTTAGATGTACATTGATATTTTATCCATTGTGTAATGCGTGCTCATTGTGTGGTTAAATAAACTATTGAGTGTCTCCGAGATCTAAATCAGTTGTAATTATGGGACTAACAATATTTACCTAATATCTCTAAATATTATCATTATTAGCGGGGGCAATGGTACACTATAATATCTATTGTGCTATCCAGTATAGCCACTGTTAAACCTCAGAATCCTACAATGTAATAAGCGCATATTTTCACTTCTGACTCTTTTTTTGGTGATGGAAACCTTCACTTATCACGAATAAAATCTTCTGCCGTACTCTTTACATCGTCGATTCAGCTCTGTGAATATCAACTGACTGCCATTGCATGGTAACCATTTTGAAAGAGCAGATTCGTAGAGATTTTTTTGTAGAGTTAAAAATGCTTCTTATAGTAGACCATAATCAACTACTATTTAAGCAATATTTCCTTCTGTGTTGCAAAGATAACGTGGATTCATCAGTAGATCCATCCTTCCACAATGCGTTCGTCGATTATTGTCTTCGTATTTATCATATATCAAAACCTATTGTTACAAAACTAATATCACTGAGGTTGTATACAAAAAAGGTCTAACAACCGTTTATATAGATGCAGTATCGTCTTTGAGTACATATAACTTAACAATTTTAATGCATTCATTTGAATGCTCTTCTTATTTATGGATTCCATCTACATAGTCGTTTTCCAAAAGATTTATAAAATACTCTTCTACACATTTATTACCTTTTCTTTTGATGGAAATCGTTTTCTACGGCTATTTTCAGGTGTGAGAAAAGCCAGAAATTAGAGAGCGTTGAATCTAATGAATATTCGGTTGTTTTCCTTTTGGCACCCTCAGAAACTGAAATGATACAAGTCATTTTTATCTCTTTTAAAATGCTGCAGATTTTGCTGATGCAGTAGCATTTAAGTGTGTATTTTCTGTTTTTTTTAGTAATTCTCCAAAACTATATTCTGAACTTTTGCGACGATTTCTGGTATTAATGCAAATTTTGACGTTTCTTTACGTTAGTTATCTTGTATGCTTGTACAATCATTTCAATGCAATGCAGCCCACTTACAAACCGTTGTTTTAGAAAAAGCAGATTCATATGAGACATTTATAGGTATGAATTCCTATAGCCTTTGAATCTTTTTTACAAATTATTTAAACACAGAACTATGTTTACTTCAAATCTTTTATAAACAATGAATTACAAAATGTTAGCTATGATCTTATGAAGTAGTCTTTCTACTATTGGCAGGTATGTGAAGCTCTGTGAACTTTTTGAACAATCATATATATCGAAAAACATATTTTTTTAATACTTAATATTGTTTTCTCTTGTTTATCAGAAAAGAAATCTATCCAAACACATTATTAAATTTGATTGTTTGGACCTCACTTGAAATAATTTATTTATAATATTATTGTCTAAATATTTATATAAGAGCTAATAATAGAGCTCCTACATGGATGCCATAGCAAACTATATTCACAAAAACTAAAGGTAGAGCTCATCCGCAATTAAGCGATTAAGTGTTCAATTTTCTTGCTTGAATTTAAATCTCCTCCTGGATACGATTATGAGTGATTCATTGATGTATTGTTGACTTTTGCACTTTGTCGAGCAGGAGCAAAGGAAAGATTTGCACAATATATTAATCCGTTTTGCACTACACTGAATAGACTGGCATTCTTTCCTGTCCTTATTTTTTTTATCAATATAAAGGGCTATATAAAGGTATCTTTATATATTGTTGCTATGAAATTTTATTTTTCTTTTCAAAGTTAATATTGAATTTCAAAAATTCGTATAAAAAATGTAAATTCCAATCTTTTAGCTCCTTAGTTGTCCTTTGCTTTTCTTTCCTTGTTTAAAACGAATTGCTTGTTTTCTGCAAGTTAATCTGGTAATGATGATTAAATGCTTTTAAAGCTCAAGTATTGTAAGTCAATTTTAATTTAAAAAGGATACACAAACTCATTTACAACGAATTGAAACGTATCAGTCACACCCATGTGAACGGTTTATTGCTGGGTACTTGTCTCTCTATATTACATCCAATATTCGGCTCTTCTCGAACTAGCAACCCCTTTAATTTAATGTGTTAAATCAATTGGAAAAGTAAATTTTAAGTTTCAAGTCATTGAACAATTTGTTGAGTCTATGAATGGTTAAATACGGAGCGATGGTTGGTGAAGCTGTTCATGAGAAAAGGTGAAATGTTTTGTAATTTTCATTTATGTAAATTACAACGTAAATATTTTCTAAATATAATTTCTTTTCATATCATTACTGATTTGATTTGGACATTGTTATGAAATTTTTTATAACAACAACAAAATGGAATAATTACATGGAATTACTTTTTTGAAAGTTGATATCTGGAATAATTAAAATGATATCAAAATTCGTAAATTACAACAGATTTGAATTTTAATTATAACAGTATGAATCATAGATAACTTTAAGCACAAATAGATGTACATATACATATTATATAATGTATAACTGGATGATATACAGAGTATCTGTGGTTTTCTGATACATTTTTGAACAAATATTATTTGAAAATTATTTTCACAAGTTTATATTGGTCAATATTATTTACGATCTCCTGTCATTTTTTGGGTAAGTCTATAATTTCATCGATGTAGAACTTCTGTAGTTTATCGGCTAAAAACTTGGTAAAATGTTTTTCATCGAATCTTTAGTCGACCAGTTTTTTATTATTAAGAGCGTTTTAAATAAATTGAAACCAATATATACCTTCTGCACAAAAAGTATCCAGATTTTGTTGTTTGTTAACTACTACTAAACTAATAGACCTTTTTAAAAAAATTTTTTTTATTATGTTGGTACACCCTTTCTTGACATATGGTACAAATTTGAGCGCCATCTGTCAATTAGTTTGTTTACAGCAGCTGTTAATGTAAGACTACCTCAAGTGCATTTAGCGATTTTTACTATCGAAAATTCTTGTTGTACGCGATTTTTTGACCAAACACGGCACCACTGTCATCGCCCAGGCACCATATTCGCCAGATCTGGTTCCGTGCGACTTTTTCCTGTTCCCGAAACTCAAATTGCCCCTTCATGGTAAGCGTTTTGAGTCGATTGAATCGGTAAAAAAGAATTCGCCGAAGGAACTAATAGTCTTACTTTCACGGGCCTACGAAAAGTGTATGGAAGATTGGGTTAAGCGTTTGCATATGTGTATCGCTTTAGAAGGAGCATATTTTGAAGGAGATAAAATAAATTTAGAATAAGATTTAAATTTATGTGTCTTATTTACAAAATCCGAGTGCTTTTTGAGCAGAAGGTATGCCATTATTATTTACGACCTCTTGTTAATTTTTGGGTAGCATCATAATTCAATCGATGTAAAAATTTTGTAGTTTATCGGCGAAAAACTTAGCCAAGTACTTTTCATCGACAATTTGATTGCAAGTTTTTTACCATTAAGAAAGTTTTAGAAAAACCGAATCCAGTATATGATACCAATTCATAATTCCATCGGTGTTAAACTTCTGTACTTTATCGGCGAAGGATTAGGTTCAGTAGCTCTTCAGTTGTCCAATTTTCTACCAATAATGGAGTTTTCAGACACCGAAAAAAATAGTAGTCAGATGTACAAGTTCTCGGTTAAATGGTGGTTGCATCCAAATTTCCCAACCTAATTTCGTAAAATTGTTCCGAGCTTTGTTCCGAGTCATCAACGATGTGTGCGACCGACCATTGTCATTGTGATATACAACTCCTTTTCAGTTGGCAAATTCTGGTCACTTTTTCTTGATTGTGTCGTTCAAGCAGTAAAATTGTGTGTTCGTATGGAGAATTTCCTTTCAATTCCATCAAACACAAAATATATATACAAATATATGATATATACACACATATTTATCGCGTGTGTGACATAGTTTGATACTAGAAACTTGCAATTTACAAATAATAATAATATTTTAATATGCTAAAAGGTGTAAAGCCACTCGAAACAGCTGTATCGTCACCACAAGAATAATATTTTTAGATTAAGACATTTTCTCAGTATTACCAACTTTTTAGTTCAAAGATACATTTCTTATCATTGGACACATAATTTTAAATTAGAAATTGAACTAGGATATAAGCACATATGTTCCTTACACCTTTTCCTTGTTAAAGCGACCGTAGAATCCGAAAATATGCAGAACTGTTTCAGCAACCCTCTATTTCTCCAGTTTTTTATTTGTTTGACAAAATTGCTGAAGATAGTTTTAAAGTAATAAGCAATATTTTTTCAAGAAAAATGTTTATAAATAAAAATCAGCAAATTTAACATCAAATATATAATGCTAAAGGGTTTCATATTAAGTCACTTATGGTGTTATTGTAATGATTATTGATACTATCACAGCATTTTAATTACAGAATGCCTTAAAAGCATTTTGTGGAATAAGAGGCTTAAAGCAAAAGAAAAATTAATATATATCATAGTTAAGTAAATTTATATAGCCGTAGTTTATTCGTTAGTGCAATTATTGTTTGCGAATCTCGAAATTCGAATAATGCAAATTTAGTCTACTTCCGTTTTATATCTTTAAACGAGTTTAGTGTCGAATTCTCATTATTAAAAAAAATCAATTTCTAAATTATGATTTTATATGCTAAAAGTATGCTACATAATCAAATTATATTAAAATAAATTGATTATTTTATAACAATTTTGAGTTTTTCCACATAATATCGAAGTATATCGTTATTTGAATTTTCACAATTCAAATTTGATACTTAATTCCTGTCGCTTGAAACATGGTTTATTTATGTCATATTAATTCAATAGATATTTCTAAACACCACTGATCAAGTATTTTTGGTACATCCGAAACAGAGGTATAGTTAGGCAACAAATTCCACTAGATCAACAATTAATTTTTAAATATGAAATTTGTTTATTAAAAGTTATTTTTTTATTCAAAATAGATCTCTTGTAATAGCACATAAATATTTTAATTATATATTAAATATAAAATAAATTTTCTGTTTTTTTATACTTTATAATTTTTGTTATAAAATTGTTTGTGTAAAAAAATTAAACATTTATTTTTGATAAAAATTATACAAATAATCTTTGTTATTTCCTGCTATTTATTATTCAAATTTTTTTTATTTATTTTTTTTCATGTTCTTACTTTTCCATTTGCATTTGTCAAGATGTCGAAACAAATCACGGGGATGAACGTCAAAACACAGCATCCGCAAATAATTCAGCAAAAATATCGGAAAATGTACAAAACAATCAAATGGGAAATGTTATACCAGAGGAGCAGAAGGAGCAACAATTACAACAACAAAAGTCGCTGTCGCAACAAGTTCAAATTCATGGCACGCTATACTTAACAAACGAAGATAAATCAGGTGGTGCTAATAGTAAAGGAGAGGAAGGTGATCCAAACTCAACTACAACAGCAGTCAAGCCAGCATCAGCTGAAACTGTCAAAACTCCTAATAAAAATGATGAATACAACCAAAATATTTGGCAATTAGAAACTAAATCGTATACAAAAGACCAGCCACGGCAAGAGCAAAAGCAAGAGCAGAAGCAACAACAACAGCAAGCTGGCGAACACTGTCAAATGCAGGTGGCATCAGGTGTGAAAAAGGAGTGCTTAGAAGGCTTTCCGAAGTCTGATGCTGATACGCTTAAAGCAGCATGTCAAATACTTAAAAATGACCACGAGAAAATCGAGAGAACTCAGGCAACACAAAAACTTAACCAACCCACATTAATAAGCTTAGCAGATACACCAGCGGCAACAAGGCAGCAATTAGCAAATATCCAAACATCAACAACAATTGCAGCTGAAACGGAGGCATCTAGAAAACTATCAGCAGGAACAGGGCAAAATGAAAACTTTGTCATGATTGATGATGGCAATACAAATGATTACAAAGCTAAAGACAGTACCAACTCAGCAACAACACCATCAATAGCCGTCACACCAACAACATCAGCAACAACAACCACAACTACAGAAGCAGCAACAGAAACAGCAGCAGCAGGAGCAGCAACATCAAATTCAACCACGAATAGCAGTCAAAATAATGACAACAACAAATTACTAACTAATTTCCACAGTTCAACATAAAATGTTCACCAATGAAAAATAAAAAATATTAAATAAAACAATAACACAGTCTTATTGTATTCCAATGATATCTTAAAAAATTTTATACTTATACGTGTGTGAATACTAAAATATTATATACAAAAATACATATACCCTATACCCAATTATTGAGAAGGGGCAAATTTGTAAAAATTTAATTTAAAAAACAAAAAACACGTTAAATGCAAGTTGAATAAAAGCAAAATTAAAAAAATATTTAAAATATTAGTTATCTAATAAATTAATTTGATTAATTTATTTAATTAATTCAAAAGAGAAAAGCTGAACTGTGAAAGAGAGAAGTCAAAAATGATAAAGAAGAAGAAAATTTAGATAGTTAAGGAGATGTAATTATCCTTAAAATTTTTTAAACTGTACTTATATGTCAGTTGAGTTGATATTTTATTGTTTTTTGTTTTTAAGTTTTATCTCTATTAAATGATTACAAAAAAAAAAAAGTCTAACACAATATTTGTTTTTTGTTTTATTAATCTATACATACATTTATAGTTTTTATATAGTTGAAAATATATGTAATAATTTAATTAAATATACAAATATTTAATTTTTTATTTAAATGTATATTCAGATTATTTTTATAAAGTGGAGACTGGCCATTTTCAAATTTATTTGGCAACATTTTTAAAAATGTAGGTATAATTTAGAAAGATGGTATGTATGATATTCATACCCAACAATCCTACAGTGGGCTTCACTACCTCTACAATTTTCCCGAAAAATCAAGCAACCATTTGTTTCGATGAGCTTCCAGCGCGAACAACTTTTGTTGGATTTGGTTTTTTCTTGAAACACCCATACATTTGAATGCTGTTTACGTTCCGGTTCATACTCATATATCCATGATTCGGCACCTGTTCCAATCTTATACAATCGTACTTATCTTCTAAATCACCGCCATTGTACGAGGGCGTTTTGATAAGTCAGTGACTTTTTGAATTTCCCGCGCAGTTACTCCAAATGCAACAGTGCTGCCGTCAGTTGTAATCTACCAGTGGGCAACTTTCTAATTTTGAGCAAGCTACGTCGTTTAGTTGATGTTTGATAGCCGTTCAAAGCAGACAACCTCGTGAATTTTTACGAAAATGGAAAAAAGTGAATTTCGTGTGCTGATTAAGCATTACTGGCCAAAATTCACGAATTGGGATACGAACTGCTAGCCCATCCAGCATATTTTCCAGATTTAGCCCCCTGCGACTATTTTCTGTTTCCAAACCTAAAGAAATCGCTGGGCGGTAAGAGATTTGAGTCGAATGAAGAAGGCATTACCGAAACAAACGCGCATTTTGAGAGCTTTGAAAAAACCTATTATTTGGAGGGAATAATAAAATTAGAAAAACGCTCGACTAAATGTATCGAGCTGAAATGTGATTATGTAGAAAAATGAAATGTTTATTTGCGATATTCTATATATGCTGGTGGAACTAATGATTAGGGTTCAACCGCAACCGCTAATTCAATTTGAACACTCAATTCATAAATTTGCTTTATATATACTGCTTAATATATATAATACTGTATGTCGCTGATATTGATATTGTTGGTCTGAAAACTCAATCCGTTACTGCGATTTTTTCAAACTTAAAACAAGCATGTAAAGCAAATGGGTCTTGTGAAAAATGAGGATTAAAGCAAAATACTTGACGTCAACAAATAAATTTCTTTGGAATCCCACCTTACTGTTGACTACTATAAGTTTGAATCTACAAAATTTTTATTTATGTAAGAACTACCAAAAAAAAAAACTTAAAAATTACATCAGTCTACAGATTCAACAAAGTAAGACTTTTGCCAATAGGTGCTACTTCGGCTTAAGAAGGCATTTGAAAAACAAATCCCTCTCTCTATAAACTAAAATCATGCCGTACAAGTCTTATAAAGTCCTGCCTGTGCTACTGATTCATGCAAAAACTTGACCAATAACTAATAGTAATGAGAAGATTTTAGAAGCATTCGAGAAAAATTTATTCCGAAGATCTATAGTTCCATATACATTGGTATCTAATATCAAAATAGGTGGAAGAATAAGTTGTATAAGCTATAATGCGACAAAAACATAGTTAAGAGTTTTAAAATTCAGTGACTTTGCTGAGCTTAGTTATATCATATAAATAGCTGAAAATACTCCAGACAAATATTTCTGGCCTGACATCTGCCAGTGGAAAAGTTGGTAAATATTGTTCGCATCTTCGGTTGAAAGACCGTGTAACAAATGATATGAAGCCTTTCTGTAATATAAACTCAAGACAGCTAACGGTGGATTAATTATAGTATATGCTCCATAGTATATCTATTGATATTATATATGTATAAGACTGTAATATTTAACAGATTTTGCAACATGAGTGGTAGCTTCAAAAAAATGTGTTAATCACTAGGGCTGCATATTAGTTTATGTTTCACTTCGAGTTTAGATTATAAACTTTATTTTTTATAAATAAAACACTTCGAGTTTAAATTCTGATGTTGGTTTATATCTCTTAAGTAAGTCAATTTTGGAAAGCAAAACTTAATTAGA